TTTTTTTGTTAAAGCAGAAACATTAAAATTTTGCCAAACGTTAACTTTCTCAATGATTAGGAATCCATAACTCTTGTAAAATGTTCTCTTAATATAAAGTAAGCGACCACTCTGCCTTGTTCCATACATCCCACCTTCATAAGGAAAAAAATATCACCATGCAGACACCAAAATATTTGCATTTATGTATCTTATCTTTCAGTTGAACTATTTTGTTCTTACTTGGAATTGGGTTAAATAATTGATCCTTTTCATCAATGTCCACATGGCTTCGCGGTGTTCCATTTATAGCTGTTAAAACAATAAATTGGTGTTATGGTAAAGTAATTAGCTAAAACAATTGTATTTGCATGCTTGTGACATGTATAATATGTATAAAGATGTATGGTATACACATTACCTTTATAATATATGCATATTTGTGTGATAGACATAGTTATAGGTAGCTATATGTAATCTATGCATTTTATTTATACATGCATGTATATGTGTATGAGATTTACATTACTTTCATACATGTATATATTATTATATGTATACTGCATTTTTTAATGTATACTGCCCAAAACACAATGAGAAACTATATTAGGCAAGTGTTATAGATTGTTTTTAATTACGAATAAATCAAATGACTGAATTGAAAAAAATTTTAAGAAAATAATACTTTTTAAGGAAAAATCAGAAAATGTGTGTTATTTATTCATCATTGGGGGGGTGCAATTAGTATTGCATATGAAAATGGCAGCAAAATGTTGACTCATTCTTAGTATTAGAAGTAAAGTGAGCTTGGCTGTCTTACATACGGTTTTAGAAAATCAACACATTTCTCTAGCTGCCTAACTGTATGAGCTTACCTTTCTCTAACATTGTCCAAAACTCAGGCTCATTTTGACTCTTGGTTGTTTCTGTGCAAAACAAAATAAACATGAACATATAGTAAGGTGATTTGCCTTCAAAAAATTTATGGTCAAACATTCATTCAATTCTTTGTTAATTTAGTTATATAGTAGGTACAAATTGAGATTCTAGCATGTGCTTGAGACTAAAGTTTTAGAAGTGAATTAGGCACAGAGATCCACCATTAGTTTTAGATATGGGTAGTTTGTTGTGTTGCAGGGTAATACAAACTTTACTAGAAATACACAGGTAGTATGCACAGAAAGACTGAATTCAACTTCTGAAGGCCAAAAACCCTCCAAAAGGCAGATGATCCTGCAATAGAGATGGAAGGACTAGCATTGGTTAGCCAGTCAAACAAGGCAAGAGAAAGAGAAAGATTCATCCCAGCTGTGAGCAAACAGAGTCATGTGCAGGCTCTGGAGGTTCTTGGAGAGCTACGTGATCTTGAGTGATACATCCCCAGGGGAAACTGACCAGAGATGAGACTGCAAAGTTCTTTCACAGCCAGATCATTTCAGATGTGAATGCCTGGTTAAGAAGTGTGAAAATGACAAGACAAAGCGGGTGCATAGCAAATGTGGTGAAGAAAGCTGATGGTGCCCAGCTATCAAAAGATATACTGTCTGCGGTTTTCAAGGCTTGAAGATAAACAGGCAGCCATCTAGCTGAGAAACAACAAAGCCCACATGGAAGAAGCACACCAGCCTATCCCGGCATGATCACTGAAGACAAAGCGGGTGCATAAGCAAATGTGATGCAGAAAGCTGATGGTGCCTGGCTATCAAAAGATAGAGACTCTGGGGTCCTATAGGCTTGAAGATAAACAAGCAGCTATCTAACTGAGAAACAACAAAGCCCACATGGAAGAAGCACACCAGC